ACACACACACACACACACAGACACAGACACAGACACACACACACACACACAGAGACACAGACGCGCACACACACACACACACACACACACACACACACACACAGGTTTGAGAATTGCATTATAGTTTATATTAAAACTAAAAGACACAGTATTAGCAAATACTAATAAATAAAAATGAATAAATACTATATATGTATAAAAATTACAACAACAAAACTACTTTTAACTGAAATTAAAGTAAAAACTGAAAATGTTAAATCTAATTCAAAACATTAACACAAACTATAACACGTTTATCAAAGATGCTAAAATAACACTTTGTGTTCAAGTCAACACGAAATCCAAACCAACCCTGTTTATTTTCCGAAAACACTTTGCTGTTTTATTGAGCACAATTCATCCGTACAAAAAAGTTTGTCTTTGTCAAACAAGCGCAACTTTCCCCTACATTTCAAACTCTATATTTTTCAGAAATATGTCACATTAGAAAAGTATAATGAACATCATATCTGTTGTTTTTAATTTTGCAGCACAGTGATTCTTACCCTTCCAGCCGCTCCGTTCTCATCCAGACGCTGAATGATGCATCCGCTCCTGCTGTCATCCTCCTTCAGGACCAAACCCAGCCCTCCATCCTCCTTCAGAGAGAATACAACACTGAACATCCCCGGTACAGAGAGAGAAACCACACAAACACTGAGCCAGAAGAGAGCTGAAGTGTGTGTCTCACCACAGGAAGAGTTATGTGCTGGACCACGTCTAGTGTTGAGCTGGGCGTCTCAGTCTGCGGAGGAAAAAACATGTTAAACTTGATCATAACTAAACAAATAAATGGATAAACATATGCATGAATGATTGAATGAACCAGAGGGTGACCGTTTGTGTGCTTAGCTTCAAATGCTGGCCCCTTAAAATCTCCTAAAACCGTAAAAAATTGACTTATTGAGATAAAGAGGAATGCTGACGGATAGCGCTATGTTTTAGAATGAATGAACAAATGATTGAATAAATTAATGAATGACCGATCTTTTTATACACATCAGGAATGTTTAATGTGTCTGTTTGTCTCACCTTGCGAAAAAGTAGTACACTTTACAATACCATAAAAAGAGTACTTATTACGGAAATAATATACATAAGAATATATACAATACATACAATTAATTGCATGCTAATTGTAATTAAATGAAACCGTATTACAGTTTATATTTATATTAAATGCAATTTGTTGAACTGTAGAGTGTTTTTTTCCCACTCAACTAGGACTTAAAGTAACACTTTATTTTAGGGTCTCTTAACTAGTTGCTTATTAGCATGCATATTACTATAATATTACACTCTAAAAAATGCTGGGTTAAATACAACCCAGTGCTGGGTAAAATAGGGAAAAACCCAGCAATTGGGCTGTTTTGACCCAGCGGTTGGGTTAAATGTTTAA